CTCAGAGCGAAAGTCCACATCACCCAGTGAGAACATCAAAAAACGTGTCAAAGTTAATAGTTGACCTTGCTCTACCAAATAGTGATAAACTGTTTGTGTAGAAGGAATATTATGGTTTGAGACTTTTAAATAAGTCTGTGAATATATTAGGAACCCTTTAAGTATACTTATATTTGCTGATTTCAAGTGGTAAATAAATTAATAGATGATTAAGTTGAGAGACAGTTTTAGACACATAAAATCTAATTCCGATACAGCTTGGAATTAGACACACAGCTCATTCCGAGCTGTGTCGTATTCTGATACGGCATCGGAATAACAAATTATGGTTTTGAGGCGCTCTGTCCGCAAGTCTACGGATATGAGACAGCGCATTTCAGTGACGTTTGAATTAGTCTCACAGACTCACAATATGCCCAATTTAGTCACGCACAGCATAGAAATTCAGCAATTTTGTAGATTTAAATTCTACAGGCTTTTTAATAAATATGGCAACAGTTTGTGATGTTTCATCATTGCTGGAGCATAGTGTGGTGTTTTGAGAGTGACGTTAACCAATCAGAAGTTCAGAACTCTAGTTGCGCATACGGTGATCTTTTCATAGCCATTCATTTCTTGCTACGTCCTTAAAGTGTTGGAATATGGTGTGTTTACCCTAACAAACTGCAAGTGCAACCAACAAAACCTCAGGTGACCCAAGGGGCTAAGGACAGTAATAAGGTGTTGCAAGTGAAAGGTTGTTAAAACAAAGACACAACATGAACAAAATGCCATGGTCAGGAAGATGGGCCAGGTGTGGGTGAATTTATGTTTTCATTTTATCAATTTGCACCGTGCGCCGTAATATGCTGGTATAAAAAATGAGCTGTGCGCCGTGCTCCAAAAGTTGTTTAAAGACAAATGTGCAGCAGCATCATCAGGCACAAACATTTATCTGCATCACGTTGACTAGATTTCTAATGTGTTAACCCAGGTTCTATTCTAAAAGTCAGCACAATTATGAATATTTATTCATTATTCATAGATCACAAATCACAATTTGTTTGGACACTAATTATAAACTGAAGAATAGAAGGCAACAATCGACATGGGCTTGAAATTGGTGCCTTCTTATGAGACTGGTTATGGCAATGAACCCCGTATGTCAATGTTGGGAATACCATGTTATGTTCCTGACATTCTTTTAGCCAGTGAAATGGGTTTTGCACAGCACAAACCAGGGTTGGCAATGATTAAATCAAAATGATTAAATCACTTGATTTTTTTATTATAAATCATGATTTTTTTATTTTTTGCATTTTTTTTTTCTTAAATATTTAAATATATTGAGTGGCAGTCTTTAATTTATTTTGAGGTACCGGTATTGTTATTCATGGTTTAGTATAAATGTACTATGAATGACAAATTGGTATATAAACTTGTAAGTTGTTGCCTTTAGTGTGTATTAGGTTCCAATAAATTGAATGTTTTTGGTACAGAGGCATCAAGTGAATAGGACATAAAACTAGTAGATCTACTGTTGGTGCTGTGCACTGTGCTATCAGCTACTTATTTGTAATGTGACTCTTCAATGTTTAGAAGATCTGCATTCTTGAACTGTTTTTGTATATTGAAGCCAGTTAAATGGTCAATATTTAGCTTGTTACCTTGCTCCATACAAACTTTACAAAGCTAATGAATAGACTTATCAATAATTGTCAACCCAAAAATGCCGAAGTGGCCATTATTGAAGGCAATAAGTGCCAAGACAAAAAAAGCTGAAAAAAAAATAAAAAAAATAATGAAAAATTAAAAAAATCATTGATTTTTTATTTGTTTAGTTTTTTAAAAAAATAAAAAAAAAATCACCAACCCTGGCACAAACCTTTTGAATAAAAAAATATAGTCACTGGATTTTTTTTATCAGTTCTCATTTTTTGCAACTTTGAAAGTTACATATATAGACAAACAACAAACATTAATAAAATATGAATGGTTTCAAAGGGACACATCACATGATAATGTATCAGTGTTACATAATTTAAGTCTGTAAAGACAAAGTTGCCATACCATAATGTTGGGAATTTCTGATAACAGCTACGTATGTCTAGATATATTTTAGGATATATTTATTTGTGATATATTTTATTTATCAAAAATTATTTTCCATCATTTAGAATGATGTAATTATTTCTGACTCCTTTCATAAACTGTAGAACCTCTAATAACCCAATCAGCGCCCTATTACCTATTGGTATACTATATATAGAACAAGCAAAATCTGTTGTCTAAAACTAATATTTGTTTACTGTACTTCATTTGCCCAATTTCTGAGGACCTGGTTCTTTACCACTTGCCTCGCGTACGGAGTTCGGAATATTTGATTAGGTACCTAGATACCGGTACTGAAGATGAACAATGTTGCCATAAGAAATTTATTGAAAATTTCTTCTGAAATAAATGTCTAGATTTTTACTTTCACAAGATTTCCATATCACAGAAAATCATATATTATTAATGGATAATTAAACACATATTAAATATTTTGTGTTTTTTGTCTGTTCCTTGACAAACTGTATTTGGGCCAACTAGGTACTGCGCAAGATGTAATGGATGACCGGAATTTGTGCCGACACCTGTGCAAAGAGAAAATATTTTGATTACTTTGCGCTAACCATTGGGTTATAAAAACTCCTTGTGCGCAGGAAAATTCTTCGAAAACCTACATTATCCTGAGTGTGGATAAAATGGAATAACCATAACATCAAAGAATATTGGAGTCTTTGGAGATACAGTGGTTTTTGTTTTCTTATCTATTATTTTAATTCCAGAATTTTTTTAGACTTCTGCTCTTGAAAGGCTTAACAGATGGTCTGACTTATTAAAATATAAAGCACAAGCACATGATAAACTTCATGAACATTCATTGATTGCTGAGCAACAGATAATTTCTCTGTAAAATAATTCCATGAAAAGCTGAAATACCAGCGAGAAACATGGGAGTCTTTGGCACACAGCTTGTCTGCACCATGATAATGTGTACGGTGCTCAGCAAGGTCATCCCGCATTGGTCTCCAGCCCAGTGGCTACTCTGCAACACAGGCTTGTCATACTACCTCCACCCAACTGATGACCAACTCAGAGAAAAGAAGAAGTCAAGTAGCAATAGAAATAATTTAAGATCATCAGAAAATGCAGAAAATGGAACTTTTACTGTATTACCAAAAAATATTGATGTAAATCTCCAGAAAACAAAGATCTCAAGCCTAGATGTGAGTTGAACGTGTTTGGGAAATATTATCCTGGATATATTCATGGATTTTTTCACATTCATTGCTATGTTTCTGCTAATAATATTTTCCATACTATTGCATTGGAAAAAACTTGAGGAAAAATTGAGCCAAACAATCAATCTTATTCCTAGCTATTAAATATTTATTTTTCATAGACATGTAATGTAAAATGCATTTCATAATATATTGGATATTTTTCAGGTGTTCCAGTTACGTTTCTACTCGGATTATCAATGGCTTCTTGACTTCTCTGTATGTTCAATAATTGTGTACTTAGCAACAGAGGTTAGTAACCTAAGAAATGATTCAAAATTGCTTTACTATTATATGGTGCTTAAATGTCAAAAAGTTTTTGAGTTGTGGGGGTTTTTGTAAAAAAAACGAAAAGTGGTCTAAGTTACCCCGCCGGTCTAAGTTACCCCATTTTACGGTAGGTATGGGTAGTTGGTAACATGACTTTATTGGCTTAATAAATTGTATTTAGTAGAAATTTAATAGCAAAGAAAACTCCACACAAATTCCCCATATCTCTATGGAAGATGTTATGAAGTCCAGCTCCATTGTCAGTTTGAAATATCTAGAGCACAGATCCAATCTGAAGTTAATGCAGTCAAAATTGAAAAAATTGGACCTATTTAAATGCAGCTTTCAGCTCTTATCGGCTAGAAATTGTGAATATATAGAATTTGTAATTTCTTGCTCTGTCTTTTGCTTGCAAGATTAGGTTTTAACTTCTATCAGTTCTATTTTTTTCTAGATTTTTAAAACTGACAATGGAGTGGGCTCCAAAACTTTTTCAATAGAGATACTGGTATGGAGAATTTGTGTGGAGTTTTCTTTGCTTTTAAATTTCTAGTGAATTTGCAATTTATGCAATCTAGTGACATTAATGCTATTATATTTAGGTAGATATGTTTGATAAAACCAATATATTCAATCATGGATACGTACCACACTAACTCAAAAATACCTTCATTAAATCAGCTCATTGAAAATAATTCATTTCTTCCCCTATAAAAAAAAAACAATAAATCTTTGATAAAGTCTCCAATTTTTGAGAAAATCGTCAGCATCCACTACTGTAAAGTGTAATCAAGATGTACTATGGTAAGTTTGCTTCTCATTTATGTCAGGAGAGCTAGTTCTTCTATTAAAACTTAATTCCTGCTGCTGTAGATTACAAGATTCAATTTTACAAGTTGATATTTGCTACTAGGTATTTCTTCTGTTTGTATTTTTATTGAATAATCATGTTTGTTATTCAAAGAGTTGTGTCTCTACTTCAAGATTCATATCTACTTCAACCCTGGCCGAGATGAAGTGAATCTGTCAATGGTGTGGTGTCTGCTGCTTCTGATCTTTGTGCTGTATCCTTTATCTGAACCTAAGCATTTTATTTTATTTTTTAAAAAAAGGACATTTCATGAAATTCAACTTAATTAGGTTTTCAAAGTAATTATTAAAGTGGACTTTGACACACTTGATAATTTCCATTACATGTTCTTCTCTGCCTTCCAAGGAAGATTTATTTTTGCATCAAATATTCTCATTACTATTATTTTTACAACACTTCTCTTTAACTTCACTTCTTGTTGTTTGTTTGTCTGTCTACTACAAATCTTATATTCTCATTACATATTATTTTTACAACACTTCTCTTTAACTTCACTTCTTGTTGTTTGTTTGTCTGTCTACTACAAATCTTATAATCAACATTTAACACACTTCTACCTTCCAATCGATCTGAAATTTTGCACACTTGCTTTAAGTTGGAGACAATGCATGAATCAATTTACAGAATATATAATTTCACAAATTAAATTTTTTTTAATTTAAAAGAATACTTTTGTCTTTTACAAATATTGTACCTAATTGATATTAACCCCCACACTTCTACCAGTCCAATCAATCTGAAATTTTCCACACTTGCAAAAAGTTGGAGGCAATGCATTAATCAATTAACAGAATAAATAATTTTTAAAAATTTAATTTTTTTATTTTGTAATATAAGATTTATAAATTAATTTTTAATTTATTTGCTAATAAAATTAGAAATTCATTGTACATGTGTAACATCAGAGACACTTGATTCTTTAGAAATGTTGTCTTCAAAAAGTAATTTTTAAATGCATATTATTATTTTTGATATTGTTGATTTATCCTTAACTAAGCTTATTCCAGCAAAGTTCTCTTCTCCATCACATTGGTGTACTTCAAGTCTGGCGCAGGTGATGGAGAGAAAGCGCTGGTGGTGCTTGCTCTGTTCTGCTATTTACTTCTTGCAATGATGGTTCTCATTGTCAGTGAAATGAAGCTTGAACTTGGACTGGATGAAGCATATGCTGCTTTCAATGCATCAGCCACTCAATTTATGAAAAATCAGGAAATTACTAGCGTGTGAGTCATTCTCTGTATTTGCACTTGTTAATTTATAGATTTTAATAGCTTATGGGCAATATGAAGATCTACCAATTATGTAACCACATAATTTTTTATGATGTTGAATAAGTACGTAGGGAAGTAGTAAATGTAGCATTCCTATGTAAATAAAGCATTAATTTTTTTAACAATTATTATTTATGATTCATTTCTCAAACTGCTTGTTCATTAGCCAGGTAGTCTCATGCTCAACATTTAAGTAGTAACTTGCATTTATGAATTGTTATTATGATTTTTTAAATTTCTCAGATCTTGTCAACAAAGATTTTTCCGAGAATTGCAGTTAAACTTATCACTGCCCAATATCTATCCCAATCAATTTAGTTGTGGCAAAATATAATTTCATATTAGATGAGAAAAGGGATATATTTCTTATATATAATAAGATAAATTGGATATATTTCTCATACCGGTATATATTAAATTAAGATCTAGGTAAGTGTCTATTAATATATTGTATTGCAGAGGTGTCATCAGTAAGATGGCATTCAAAGGCTGTGCTGCTGTGGCCTGTGCTGTCCTGGGTGCTTGCCTGGCTTTCCCTGGTCTCCGGCTGGGCAAGATGCATTGGGATGCAGTAAGGTAAAGTATAATCTCTTAGATATTTATGAGATTTTATATATTTAGAATACCGTAGCAGATGATTCCTTTACAAATTCATATTTTGATTGCATAGTATCAGATTTGAACAACTATCACGTATCATCTGGCTGTGTCAATTTTAGTTATTGTATGGTTGTATTGTCACACTAATACTTTATTATATAAATTTTATGGATATTTGCAGATAGTATGCGTACTCATCTTCTCAGCCTGCTGTAATTTTTAATTAATTGTGGAACATTTGCTCGGCATTGGGTATGACCCTAAGGGGCTTTCATTCTGAACAAGCATAGCTATAAGTTCCCAATGTTCATATAGGTATACTTCCCTAGCTGAAACATGAACCTTTTATTTTATGAACCCCCTTTTTTAACTGAGTTTGTGTGACAAATAGCGGTGTGAATAACAGACTCAGAATGTCCATATTAATTACCAGTACAGAAGATAAGTTTTGATCATTCTGAAAACACTGCAGAAATAGGTATCTATAAGAACAGTGGATTTTTCAACATATTTTGGGAATAATTTTTGGTTGAAATCATTCTGTTTTTTCAACGCATTTTCTCATTTATGGAAAAAAGGTGCTGTTGTGCTTGTCATGTCCATCTGTCTGTCCGTGACTTCACGTTTTTGTCAACGAGAAAATGCGCTCTCTGCCACTCACTGCAGTGACTGAGTTATATATTTCTATGTACTGAGAACAAATAAGGTGAACTTTCCAGCTTAGAGAAAATTGAAACATTTCATACAGAATGAAGTAGCATGCAAATAAATATTTCAGATTGCAGTGCACAAGACGTTGGCTGCAACTGCTGCTCCACTGCGCCTTCCTGGCGCCCGCTTTTGTGTCGCTGCTGTGGGTGCGTCCGCTGGCCAGACATTACCTCGTCATCATCACCTGGCCTGGCTACACAAAACCTCTGTAATAACCTCTCCAACCTAATATTTTGTTACTTCAATAACCTCTCTATTTTATTACTTGAATACAGGCATGTCAAACTTCTGTAAACCCATGTTACACAACATCTATGCGATTCGATGAAGATTATTCTTTATACCTTAGTATTGACTGTAGTGTAAACTTGACATTCTTTACATCTTAAAGTTGGTTGCAGGAATTATGCTGGTTGGTCTGCTGATAAAATAGGATCCCCTGTGCAATTCCCTGTGCAAGATGAAAATCACCAATTATATCTGCTTTTGTATTTACAATAGACAAATTTAATTCATTAAACCTCTTAATGCACATTTTAAATGTGAAATTTAGTTCTCTAAATTAAAGTGGCTGGATTGCTAGAAAAAACATATTTCTGAACATGTAAAACCAAATGATGTTGAACAGGCTGTCAGCGGAGGCGTTCTCAACGGTGCGCGTAGTCTGCGTGTTGGTGACGTGTGCCCTGCGGCTGCTGGTGCTGCCTGTGTACCTGCAGGCTTACCTGGACATGGCCAGAGCTAAGCTTGAGGAGCAACGAACTCATGCTGGCAAAACTACCAATAAAAATATACAGCGACAGGTGCTGTGTTTAATGCGACTAGTTATACAAAATGTATTTAGTAATTTGTAAAGCAATACCGTAGTCGAATGGTAAAAGTAATATCTTGAGACAAGTAATGTAAGATTATGTAAAATTTGCCAAAAATTAGGGAGAATAAATCTTGTGGTAAAGAAAACTATTGTGGAATGTTCAAAAAACTTTAATTGCAACACTCAGGCAGGCCAGTGGCGGGATGAAATATGTATTCGGTGTTTTTTGATCAATTTTTGCAAATCTTGAGCGTTATTCAGAAATTTGGGGTCATGTCTTATGTTGATATTTCGATGAATAATCTCATGTACTTATAATCCAAGCAAAAAACAGTGAAACTAAAATCAATGAGAAAACGTTTAATTAAACTGATTAATGATGGGTAAGCTCCTTAAATAGTTTTTATGCATTTATTTTCTTCAGTGTTATTGAGCGGTACATGCTTGCACCATTTTAAGTTATGTATGGTACCTACATCTATTTCTATTTTTCTAGTTTTTATTAGTTTAAAAATACTACTATATGTATATGTCCGCTATATATTACTAATTCCTGCAAAGACCTACGGTACTTGTACGCTTGTGGTGCGCTGTAGCACTATGAAATTGTCCGGCCAAACTACTTGTACATATATGCTGAATATTGAGATATTTTCTCCACGTTTGTAGGTTGAGTGTCAGATTGTTTGTGCAGGTAGCCAGCGTGTTCTACTACCTGTGTGTGGTGGCGCTGCAATACCTCCTGCCGCTGCTGCTCTCGCTAGTCCTCGCACTCATGCTTAAAACTCTCGGTCAGTCTTGTTTCAATTTATATATTTATAGTCACTTGTAAATCTTGACGCATTTCAATTTATATATTTCTAGTCACTTGTAAATCTTGACGCGTTTATTTCAATTAGTATCTGCAGCCACTGAAACTCTCGACAAATTTTTTCTTTTAAATGTTTTTTTGCCAGCCCATATTGGTGATAGAAACGTTCATTTTATGATAAATAAATTTAACGGGATTCATTGCTCTGTCGTAAATTGATCTTTATCAGTCTACATTGTTTTTTGCATGTATACATTGAGGGATGAACATTTCTTCCTGCCCACCTCTTGGGTAGAGTTTTATTGTTGCACCTTGACGCAACGTTTATTTCTCATTTCATCTCAAGATGCGTTTTTTTCTAATGCCCTTACATAAAAGATTGATTTTATTAAGACCAGAATCAATAAAAATCTTTTCGTTAAGACTATACTCATTCCAAAAATTACCTCTACGTCTCGGCTCCCCTTTTTTATTAGTCTAATTATTTCAATCTGAACTCGCAATATTTAACAAAGACTCGTTTGTACAAGGGCTGCACTATGGAAAAATATTCATGAGTTCATAACTCCATCAGGCAATCGCGGTTGAATTTTCAACTTAAACCTAGCAATCCCAGAGAATGATTTGGCCGCTCGTGCACTTGAGCAAGTTTTGGTAGATTCAACTTGCTCGAAGTAGATTAAATTTGTGTGTGGATTCTGTGGGTAGATTCAACTTGCTCAGAGTAGATTCAATTTGTGTGTGGATTCTGTGGGTAGATTCAACTTGCTCGTAGTAGATTCAATTTGTGTGTGGATTCTGTGGGTAGATTCAACTTGCTCGTAGTANTCACAATATTTAACAAAGACTCGTTTGTACAAGGGCTGCACAAAATATTCACGAGTTCATGACTCCATCAGGCAATTGCGGTTGAATTTTCAACTTAAACCCAGCAATCCCAGAGAATGATTTGGCCGCTCGTGCACTTGAGCAAGTTTTGGTAGATTCAACTTGCTCGGAGTAGATTCAATTTGTGTGTGGATTCTGTGAGTAGATTCAACTTGCTCGGATGTCCCCACAGGAGGACTTCACTGGCGCGGGCTGAGCGACCTGCGCGGCTTCGTGGCGGCTGAGTGTGGCGTGGATGACGTCACGCCACAAGCCAGCCAGCCACACACAGCCACCGCAGCCATCAGCCGTCTGGCTGCCTCCACTGAAGCCACCGCAGCCATCACCACAGGCGTAGAACAACTCAGAAAGGTAGAACACGAACACAATTAGGAATACCTTGCTTTCGGTTGGGATATTTTTGTGTTATCTAGACCGATTAATATCTGTAGCACTGTTTCCCTCTTTAGCCTCCTATTCCTCGGCAACCCCTGTTTTCCTTCTATTTTCTTCCTTGTCTTCTATTTCTCTCCTTCGCGCCTTCGGCGCTCATTTTCTCTTATAACTTGCTATCCTATGCAGCCCTTCCATTGCTATTCCTTCTATTTCATTGCGCTCCACAGCCATCGAAGACATTCATGTCATTGATATTCATGACATTCATGTCATGTCATTCATGTCTTTGTGTGTGGAATTTTGAAAATACTTCTAGTCTCTTTGTATTTGTTTCATCAAATCCATTAACATCAAAGGCAATATCGCGTCATAATAATAGCTTCTTATCACAATTGTTGCAGTCCAGTCGCTAACTGACATCGCTTGTTTTTGATGGTGTGGTAATGATAAAACATTTTTACACGTAAGAGCAACATCACGATTTGGACTGAAGATTGTTATGTGGAAGAAGCATTATAATAATCGTACACAATCTTATTATACGTGAATCCCGTACTTACCATGTTTAAAATGTTAAATTTCACCACAGTTGCTGGTGCCGGAAATGTGGCTGGGGCTGCTGGGCTTCTCGCTGTGGTGGAGCGTCACTTGCTGGTTCATTTCTGGGCTCTTCGGGCTGCTATATCAACGCTTCTTCACTGCTGGCTAGCCACGTCATCAAATTACTTATAAATAATTCAATTCTTTAGCAATGTCATCTCTTCACTGCTGGCTAGCCACGTTATCAAATTACTTATAAATAATTCAATTGTTTAGTAATGTCATCTCTTCACTGCTGGCTAGCCACATCATCAAATTACTTATAAATAATTCAATTCTTTAGTAATGTCATCTCTTCACTGCTGGCTAGCCACGTCATCAAATTACTTATAAATAATTCAATTCTTTAGTAATGTCATCTCTTCACTGCTGGCTAGCCACATCATCAAATTACTTACGAATAATTCAATTCTTTAGCAATGTCATCTTTCTAATTTTCATAGACAGTGTATCACATAACTGTTGATGGTGTTGCTGCTACTTGATAAATTTGAGGAGGAATCATTTAGATATACTGATGAAAATATAAATTTCGTTCTTTCAATGGTCAGATTGGTTTGGCAACTAATTCAAAATGCCTAAATCGGATTTGAATGAGAGTTACTTCGATTTCGTTTTTTTCTGTCGAGAACTGTTAAGTATTCCAATTCATAGTAATATTTTAGCATCTTTGGGTTTTAAGCATTATTCATCTCAGGCTAGCAAATGCTAAAAAAATTATGAACTACGTTCAAAAGCTGATCGTTTGTATGTCATTGTTTGCAAGCTGTGTTTTCCTTTTAATTAACCTGGACGTTAAGTGTGAGCCTTTTTCTGTTTGCTATCTCCCTCATTGAATCTGTAGTGTTAAATTCATTTTTTACAAATTAAGCACACATATCTCGGAAATCATTTTTATTATATTTATATCATTTAACGATATCAATGCTCCATTTAAAAACATCTAGGAAAGGGCCTGCAAAACCTTACCTTGTTTTGAATATTGTCAGTATTGTTGTATCTTTTAAGTGGAGTGCAATGTTTCAATTCAGAGGCAATTTATAGCTGCTGTTCTAATAGAACCTGCCTATGTTGTGTTCCATGCTTGGCATAACACGCACAAATTATTGTAAATACTCCTAGCATTTTACGAGCCACTTGGGAACTTGGTAATTGTTACGGACGTAACAGTCCCAGGCCACGATGGAGAATTAGAGAATTAGAATCCACAGTTGTGGATACATGAGTCATCGCTGTGCAATTCAACAAAATTCATGCGAAATAAGGACGAGTTGTGGGCGCTGGTGTAAAGTTCTGTAAATAGCAGCGCTCCAGTTGTTCGCTTCGCCGATCTGCATCTGCAGCAGATTTTGTTGGAAAGCTTCTAATAGTAGGATATGCCTCATGTACCGACGATATTATTTGCTAATTTCTGTAAAGGTAAATAATTCTAATAGGGTATAATTTTTGAAAGCTAATTTTTTCTTCCGTACTGCCAAAGACAGTGAAAGCCACCGTCATTGCAAAAGTTCATCAAACACTATTTATTTTCAATAGCATAATTCTCTAAATAAGAGTCTTATGTTCAACTGCACATATGACTTGAACAATTGAATGTTTAATGTGATCAAGAATTGAACGAGAGCTTCTTGTCAGACTGCATGTCCTATTGAGTGATGACAGTCACTGCGGATTGATAATGTATCGCAAGTCGACGTGTTTCCTGCCATGTAAACGACCGCCAGTTTTAACTTTTCTCTGTGATGCGTTTCGCTTTTCATGATCAGAAAATCCTCTGCCTTTTTTATACATACTAGCATAACGATTGAAGTCATATACATACTTTTCTTATTGTTATTTATAGTCTTCTTGATGATATTACAAATTGCAAAGAATCCCAGGAATTTAAAAGTAAAGAAAATAGCCAAAAATTTCACCATTTCTTATAAGAGAAAACGTTTCGGAGTCCAGCTCCATCGTCAATTCAAAACCTAGAACACAGGTACAAACAATTAGTAACCTAAAATTCACATTCAAACAATAATTATTCACCTAAACTTGAGGACATTAGAACTAATATCGAAGATAACAGAAATAAAAATGAGATAACATGTAGAGGAAGTACTATCTATTTACAATTTGTAGAGGAGGAACTGAATGCTGCATTTAAACTGGGTTTCTGTTTGATTTTTATTTCTGTTATCTTCAATTTTAGTTCTAATGTCCTCAAGTTTAGGTGCATAATTGTTGTTTGAATGTGAATTTTTTTACTAATTGTTTGTACCTGTGTTCTAGGTTTTGAACTGACGATGGAGCTGGACTCCGAAACGTTTTCTCTTATAAGAAATGGTGAAATTTTTGCCTATTTTCTTTACTTTTAAATTCTTGGTAAATTTGCGACTTAAGCAGCCAAGTGATTTTAATAATTGCAAAGAATGATTTAGAATAATTTTCATCGCCAAGAAATCATTTGTTATAAGCAGTGTTTGTGATCATTCATTTCGGTTTTTTTCTTAACATCTTCAGTAAGTTCCGCATTGATTTTTTGCCTTATAATCCTGACCGCTAATCTCCTTTGCTTGTTCAAACTGTTATGTAGGCGAGTTGATTCTCACCAGTTCCCTTGCTTTATTTCTTTTGCCGCATGCAGGAAAAATACTTCTCATATGAGTATAATTTTTCCGTTACTGCTCACATTTCCCTTTTGGTTTCTATGAAAGAATGGTACTGCTTCTTCCAAGCAGCTTCATTGCGCTTGACGTAAGATTAGTTGGAGGAGTCGCAACTTTTTGTCCAGATTGTTACAGACGTCTTCCCGAGGAACATTTATTATTTATTCTACTCTCTATATACGTATTTTTTTTCAATATCACGATGTCTCTCATTTACGTAGACATGTAGGTACGTCCTTAAAATTCTTAGAATCTTTAGATGCGGAACACCTGTTCCGCCTTATTCTTAATCATCCAAACTGTTCAACTAAAAATTCAACCTTAATCAAACGTTGACGAACGTTTTCAAGTAATTGTTACGGTTACATTGTTATTTTCAGGTCGAGTACGCTTCTGAAATCTTAATTTGTTATGTTGTTTTAATATCCAACATTGAAGTTGTGCTCGTTGCAAAAGATTCAAAATGTCATGTACATGGAAAGGAGATATATTTCCTAGTTTATACCCTCAAGATCTTTAAACCTGAATTAAAAGCCATGACATATTTCCTTCGTGAATTAGTCTCTAACAAAACCTGAATTACGGACATCAATTTTCTTTCTATTGTGATTTCATTGTTCATCGTTTTTTGCTTGATAATAATTCCTCAGTCAGTCGGAAATTTATCTTCGTTTAAGTATGTGTTCGCCCTTTGATATTCCACTTTATTACAGCTACCTATGAGTCTCATTATTGCTTATTCAACATATATTTTCTTATTATATGCCCGTCAGCCCTGGTCTTGACGATGCTGAACTCGGTCCATACGATCAGAAAAATCATTGGGTGATTTTATTGTCATGATCACCCAATCATTTATATTATATAAATGATAGCATGATCTTATTATAATGATCACCCAATTATTTATATTATATAAATGATTAGGTGATCTTATTATAATGATCACTCAACGATTTATATTACATAATATAAATGGTTTGTTGATTTTATAATGAGACACTCACTGCATGAGCAGAGGGCGGACGTAGAACTGATATGCTCTTGAAGTTTGTAAAGACTCAATGTAAGAAATTTTGACTGAAATTTCGAATTTGCAGATATTTTGATCCAGCGTTAGGTTTTGCTCGCATAACCTCTTCCAAATGGTATCGTTTGCTAGAATATTTTCGCCATGAGTTGTCATTACGAATTTATTGGTTAAAGTTTATTTATTAACTGTCCTTGTTTTCTTCTAACCGTGTGACCTGTCACTAGGTTTAACCTGAATTAGTAACCTTGGGTGAAGATTAACAAATTGATGTTATGAAAAGATATTGTGCTTTGCTACCTGAAGAATTTTTACTATACCTCTTTATTTTATCTAATGAATGCAAATGTTTGCTTGCAGCGAATTTCTGAACTAGTCATTATTTTTATTGAACAAATGACGCATCGCTAAACGAATAAAATTGCCACGGATATAGAGGCAATTAGTGGAATTTTTCGTCTATAGGAAAACCGAAAAAAATTAGAAAACCGCAGTCATTAATTATTCAATTATGGTCAAGGAGATCTGTTATGGCTTCCATCTTCTCTCTGTACTATCGTTTACAACTCCGTTTAACTAATGTGTATGTATGCGACAATATACTATTTGATATATTTTGCTGTCATGTAGTATAGTTAATATACTATACGACAGCTGGTAGGATACTCGCACAACACAGACTGTATTAGTTTATTTAAATCTAGTCTAATGAGCGTACAATCATGCGATACATTTTTGTACCTAACATTGAGCGGTAAATATTAGTTTTACAACATATTGTTGGAATGAAGCCTTCGTCGTGAACTTACATTTGCACGAATTTCACACTTCTTGTCAGAAGCGTTTATGCTCTATCTTAGCACTCCTAATAGTACTTATCTACGTAACCGCTTTTAATCGAAACTGAACATGAAAGTAGGCTATAAATCAACTCTATAACATTATCAAAAATCTCACACTTCATTTCAGTGACCTATGTATCTTTCTAGATTGAGATAATATCTATAATAAAGATTCTAACTGCAAATGGTTCTGAATTTCAGAAAGAATTCTAATGGCTAATGAAACCGAGTTTGAAACAACAATGAAATGAAAACACCAACAGATTGAAAACATATAAATGGAATGGGCATCAATAAAGACGATGATCGAGCTCCGGTTTCGATACGCTACGCTCTAACCACCAATTCATCGAGACGCATATACAAGAAAAGGTCAGTGCGCAGATTTGTTATGATTTATATTATTTTTAGAGATTTGTAAAAAGCACCATTTACGACACAAATTGCCATTGCGACGTGACGCACCATTTACGGCATGAAGCACCATTTACGAAATGAAATTCCAATTACGACGCGAGCCCTATTTACGCTACGAATCACCATTTACGACAAGAATCACCATAAACGACACGAACCCCCATTTACGACACGACCCACCATTTACGACAAGAACCCCCATTTACGACACGACCCACCATTTACGACAAGAACCCCCATTTACGACACGAACCACCATTTACGACACAAACCACCATTTACGACACGACCCACCATTTACGACACGAACCGTCATTTATGACATGAACCACCATGCACCATTTACGACATGAACCGCTATTTACGACACAATTCATCATTTACGACACAAACCACCATTTACCACACGAGCCACCATTTACGATACGAACCATCATTTACGACGCAAACCCCCGTTTACGACACGAAGCACCATTTATGACACGAACCCCCATTTGCGACACGAACCCCCATTTGCGACACGAACCCCCATTTGCGACACGAAGCACTAGTTACCTCAAGAAGCACCATTTACGACATGTAACACCATCTAAAATACGAATATTCACAATAAGTTCAAAATTGACTCGTATTCTTAGCGATTCAATCCGCTATCAATCGAATTCTACCGTGCAAAAATGTTGGAACCACTCGATCGTATCTCATGCCCTTGTACAGTCAAAGACTGTAAGTCCTGCAAAACAGTCACAGACTGCAAGCTACAGCGGTCTTATAAAAACCTTTAGCTGTCACAGACTGCAATCCTTCATCAAATTCATCTGATGACATCAGGCACAAAAAGAAATATATATGTTCGTTAGAAACGAGCATATAATGGAACCATGCACCAGCTCAGTTTATGCATTGCTCTTGATAACAAAATTTCCACGTTTTCATGTTGTAATCAATATCATTCGTGTCAATTACTCAATAACTGGGGTCTCTTCGTGAGCTCATTTAGGATATGTAGGAACTTTCCAGTCATCGCCAAAAATGTTCATCATTTACATACTATCTTTTATTTTCTCCATAGTCGATTTTCCAAACTACGCACTGGCACAGTCTGCGACTCTGCTCTCTCTTGTTCCTGACATGGAAGACCTGAGAAGGTTCATGGAGGTGACGTAGCCAAGGAAAATGGCTCCGTTGGTTGGCAGAGCGCGCAAGATGACCATGCTAAACCCTCGTGTAAATACGCTCAAGCCTTCGTTCTTGTAACTCTTGACGCAGCAATCCCAAAAGTTCTGTTGCAAAACATTGGTTACGATTATTCATTTTGTCGTTTTGTCGGCAACACCGAGTAAATCGCTTGCAAACCGCATCCTAGTCTGAAGAATTCTCATGTTCCTAAATATAAATCCTAAAAATTCTAATAGAAAAATTACTCAAATTTCAGCTCATTAAAGAAAATCGCATCTGTTGGTCGCTCAATCCGGGTAGAATAGTAAAAAAAATTCAAAAAAGTCTTAGCTTTAATAGTCTCAGTGAGGGCAAACTGCAGCTATCTCTATTTTAAAAATTGAATTTTTTTTTTTTTTCAATGTTAAAAAAATTTTGAAAATAATTTTGTCAGCTACAAATCTTACAAATGATATTCGACACACTTTTACCTATCCAATTGATCTGAAATTTTGCACACTTGTTTGAAGTCGGAGGCAATGCATGAAACAATTGACAGAATAAATAATTTTGAAAAAAAATTAGATATAAAAAATTAAAAAATTATTTTTTTTAATATTTGACAATAAAATGAGAAATTCATTGTACATCTTTAACATTGGAGACAATGGATTCTTTAGAAGTGTTGTCTTTAAAAATTAATTTTTAAATGTATATTATCTCTAATATGATCGAACCTTGTACTGCGGGTTGACCACATCATCGGCCTGCACTCTGGACTTGATCACGTCTATTGGCACGATCGTCATCCATGATATTGCGCCTGCCACACCAGATATACGTCATTACAAAAAATCTTGCAGAATTGAATGACTAGCAACGAGCTCTACTCGTCAAAAATCGTATATTAAAAACAATTATAATTTAAATATTGGGTAATTTTTCAGTTCACGTAATTTATTTCAATTGATTCTAAAAACTCATATCAATTTAATATAATTCATTTTCATATGCAAGTTGTAGACAGAAGAGACATGAACATCAAACAACAGTATTGGGCTTAACTTAAGTGACAATGATTGCTAGTTAGTTGGTTAGTTGTTGAGTTAGAGTAAGTTAGTAACCTTTCAAGTGACCCGAAATGAAACTATGAAAAAGTTAAGAATAGTTTACAATTTGTAACAGTTTTCACAAATTGAAATTGAATTTAAACCTCTTCAAATCAGTGTGAGAGCGAGAAGCATTAATTTTCAATTCTGTGAGTAAATATGAATGAGAATTTAAGGAAACTAAACGTTTAAAACTATATGAAAATGTCAGGCTTGTCTTTAATATCAAAATTTAGTAAAATAATAATAAAATAATTGGATGTATCAATTTAGCAAAATGACAACAATTTTAATAAGCTCAATAAAGGAAACACTGATTTAATTTTTCACAAAACTACATACAAAAACTTAGTTCTGTAATTTTTATTGATGAATTTCAAACAAATTTGCAGCTCTGGCAGCAAATAATTTGTATTTTTGTTCTTTTACCTGCAACGGCCCCCGCCCCGAAGACGGTCGCGGCGGGCGGGTGTGGCTCAAAGTCCACCAGCCATTCGTAGGTCATCACATAAATTGCCCACGACCCAACGTCCCTTCATCATATAGACTCATAAATTAAACGTATCACTTTTTATGACTAGCCCTGCTTTATATCACAGAGTCAAACTGCAAAAACTCTTCATGAGAGGCGTCTCTCTTCCTTTGATTGTAAGCGAGTTTAAGAAATACAATTTCAAATCTGTGAAACGCTCACTTGGCAAAATTTTCGACAGATGTGTCTTGTCGATTCCCCATGCGAGTACCGGGTTAAAATGTTAACACGTATTACGTACGATGCGAACCATTTTTCTATAACTAATCTGTTACTACGTAATCAAAAAATTGTTTCACGGACCGCCGTATGATTTAAACTTGTTTGATTTCTTCGATTGTTTTCTCCAAAGCCAGTCACAGAGACAAGAAATTAGATTCGAGCCTCGTGCAGCCTGAGTTGACTTATAAACGTTTGAAGCCCCGTTCAGACCATTCAAAATAAATTTTAACAGTGACATTGAACAATTGAGAAAAGTTGCGTATTTTGTTACAATTTTGCTCTTTGATCATATATCTTACTGCAACGGAGAGCTGGAAGTTAAGTAAAATCAATAATTATACATAGCAGAGAAATTCGTAAGAAAGTGCACCAAACCCAGTATATAAGTAGTCCTTTCTTACCACATATGATCCCAATCCAGATACCTTTAAGCATGGGTGTAAATTTAAAGATTGTTCCAGAAGCTAGTTAGTGATATTGTTGGTTCTGAACAACATGCGTGTTGAATATAGAAGCGAGTTGAAGTACGCATGTCGCTCACCTGCCATGCCACCACAGAACATGAGTGTGGCCGGCGATGCAGCGTCTTCTCTACCAGCTATCTGACGGATCATCATCTCATATATGACCATGTAGTACCCGAATGAAGGCACGTCTCTGTGTCATAAACGGACGATATATACGTGAGCAAAATAGCTTCATAAATTAATAATATATAGCGGTTTCAGCGTTTATTAGGCCGTAGGCCAGTCGCCGATTCTTAACATCGCAGAACATTCACAGCTTGTTGCGGTCTCGAACTCGCAACTCACTGCTTCAAATTTTGCTTTGCTTAACCGCCCGGCATCCTTGCTGATTCTGACCAGAAACTGGCGCACAGAGCTGGGATCGAACCCGCGCCTCTCTGCACCAATCTTGGTACTCTGAACATTAAGTACTGGGCCACCCTGCCCATTCATGGTCTCATTGATAACCCTCTTGGCCGGGTTAAAATGTTCTACCTTCATGGACTACCATTTCAATCGTATCTTCGGCAAAAAATTACCGAAAAATTACTTCGATCTCAACCGGTTTAAAAACGATTCGGATCCTAACCGCTACCCTAACCAGCGTAGGTGGTTTTCTACCTCTATGCTGACCAGCAAACCTCAATCATGACATTATGATCGCTTTATGAAACCCACTGAGTGCGACCACTTGCCCACAAAATTATTCCAGATTTCAATTAAATTCTTGACTTTTCGGCTCTGTACAATATTAGTTAAAATATTCAAAGTATTCAATGTCGACAGTGTGTTGAACTCTTTCACGGGCATGAAAGTTGCACAGAAATTCTGAGGTTACTAAACCCAAACGCCGAAACCCCCGTTTGTTAATTTGATTCTAACGAGATCTAATTTTTTGGTTTCTAAAACTCCTGGTAACATGTGTTACGATCAAGACCTTCCTTATGTGACCTTAACAAAGATGCTAAAAGATTGGAATCAAATTTAACAAGGTGAAATTTCTTTCCAGAAATACCTTCTCTTGGGTAATAAACTCTCATAAAAGGTTTGGAACCCGGAAGACTTCTTTTGCCTACTCGTCATACCACCTGAGGGCCATCTTAGACCCACCTGAGGGCCATCTTAGACTCGCCTGAGGGCCATCTTAGACCCACCTGAGGGCCATCTTAGACCCACCTGGAGGCCATCTTAGACCCACCTGAGAGCCATCTCAGACCCACCTGGAGGCCATCTTAGACCCACCTGAGGACCATGCACCCATCTGAGAGCCATAGACCCACCTGAGAGCCACAGACCCACCTGAGTGACATAGACCCACCTGAGACCCATAGACCCACCTGAGTGACATAGACCCACCTGATAGCCATAGACCCACCTGATAGCCATAGACCCACCTGATAGCCATAGACCCCAGACCGTAGTAGCAGCCCCGTAGCCCCGCCGTCCTGTACAGGTCCAAAAGGCAGGCCGTAGGACCGCCGTACCGCGGCGCTGTCGTCTTCTTTGACTTGCCCCAAGCGCTGCCGTCGCCCTCTGCCATTTGGATGATGTACAGTATAGAGAATTAATATTCATTATAATATGAATTTTTAAGATGTACTCTCTAGGACTAGTACTCTTTATAATATGAATTTGTATGATGTATATAGGGTTAATATTCATTATAATATGAATTTGCATGATGTATATAGGGTTAATATTCATTTTAATATGAATTTGCATGATGTATATAGGGTTGATATTCATTATAATATGAATATGTATGATGTATATAGGGTTAATATTCATTTTAATATGAATTTGCATGATAAATATAGGGTTAATATTCTTTATAATATGAATTTTTATGATGTCTATAGAATTAGTATTCTTTATATTATGAATTTGTTTGATGTATTAAATAGTTATTATTCCTTATGATCTGCTAGTTAGACCTGCGAACGCATTTGTGATGGTTTGTTTTAAATTATTTACTGGAAAATATCTTGTGAATTGTTTTACTTGAAGCTAAAACGCGATTGCACTAGCTAATGTTCAAGAGAATTGACTCAGAGAAAATAGTCAAAACTAAAAATAAGTGTAGTAAAAACCCTGCTGCTAAATTTTGTCAAACCTGACTCAGAAATAGGACTAGCTTCAGGTTTTCTTCGGCTGCATGAAAACACTTTTTTCTAAAAGCATATGACCTTCTACTATGAAGCTTGAATACCTGACTGTGCATAAAATATTAACTAACATACCTGTCTGTACATTAAATATTAGTTAAAACACCTGTTTTTGCATTAAATATTAACTAAAATACCTGTCTGTAGCTGCATTTTAATCTTGACGAGGTCGACAGGACAGGCGACCGAGAGCACCTTCAGTTTCATATATTGTGCCGCTTCAGAATCATAGATTATATATCTGAGTCATATACATCCCATCGAGCCAGTTCTATTGAATCATTGTTTAAGTGTCTTTTTGTGTACTATATATTTTGTTTGAAAAATTTTTCATGCTCAAAATGAATGCGACTTCGACGTACGAATTCAATCAATCAGTGAAAACATTCGAACGTCAGATACATAATGTATGATAATCGATCTAGATATTGATTAGATTTTGTTTTCGATCATGCTCAATTAAAGCACATACTTCCCACCAGATAATGTGCAATGTATTAACTGATACAGACAGACTCATTTCGAATATTCTAGATGAAACCATCCCGAATCACGCATCACAGATCTTTGCAGGAGATCATTACAAAATAAGTATGACTATCCTCATATATTTGATAGAATAATTCTAATTATTATCGTTAATAATGCTATAATTTATCTGATCAACGTCATTATTATTCATCTCGGTAGCAATATCACCAACCCCCTCGTATTTGAAGGTCCGGGAGATGCCTGAGATTGCGGACACGTTGCCCAGCGCCTGCTGCCGCACCTTGATGGTGTCCATAGGGTGACCGACCAACAGCCCCGCGCAGCCTGCAATGTTCACCATATTCGTCATCTTTTATTAATAATCGTAATGTATATGTCATGCCGAAATCGCGGAATTGCCTATTCTATGGAATCGGCAGCCAGTTTGCCTAATCTGTAGAATAGGCATTTCGTTGCTGATTCAGGAAATCGGACGTTAGAGTTAAAGTTAGAACATAAATAGTTAGATAAGTTCAGGTCAAGTTCGGTCAAGTTCCTTTATATCTAAATATTTAAACAAAATTGGCTTACTGACCTAACCCCAGATCCCTTAGTATAGAAATGCTGGTTCTACAGATTCGGCCAACTGGCTGCCGGTTATATAGAATGGACAATTCCGCGATTTCGGCACGACACATATAAATTAACCAAATAACATCCTAATGTAGAAAAAGTAGCAACTTGTGAATTATAAAATCTTGCAAAATCTCTTGTTCCTGATGTGATTCAATAATAGATATTTTATCTTTTATATATTAAAAGCCATTCATGCATAATGTTTCTGACTAGTGTTTGTCACAAAGATTTGTCAAAAAGATTTACGTTAGAATTTCGCTTGACCGGATCCCTGAGTATCTTCATCGATATCAAGCCTTTGTTGGAATAGTTAATTTGAATTTATCGGAGCAACTTATATGTTACTATTGGTAATTTTCCAAAAAATTTTTAACTCTAGAAGAAAAGCTGATATCATGTAAGTAGAGAATGAAAATCTAATCAATAACTTATAAAATCATCAATTTTGTGTAATAAGACTTGAAAAGGATCAATATTACCGTTGAATTTGTCTCTTCCACCGTTAGAGTAACTCATAAATAAATATATAAATTAATAAATAGAAAATCAAAACAACAAGGGAATAAAATAATTAATATGTAAAATTAATAATCACATTAAAATAGTAGCATCACCTCCAATCCATCCTGCGACGAAATCGCACCACACTTCGGTGTTCATTGCTCAACTGGGGGAAAATAGATGCCAACTAAATCCTTTAATTAACTAAAATCCTTCTGATTTAATATATTTTTACTACTTTCGGTAGGCGCTCACTACTCGCTCTGAGTATGAGGCATGATTTCAACAGGTTGTTTCTTTAATTTAAATCGAGGTTTCCTACCCATTGATTTCTCACAATTTTGTAAATACTCCACCCCTGCGTTTACGTTCAGTTTGAAATTTAAGTACAGAGTTCTCGTTTCCAATTTCATGCACTGAATATCAGCTAAATTTATACCAGTTATTGCTTATATCTCACTTTAGTTGTAAAATATTATTCAAAACAAGTCTTTGAAAAGTTTTTTCTTCCTCGTCACAAATTACTAAATCAGGTTGTCTGCTGAAACAGTAAGAACAGAGTTGAGTTCATTTTGCTTTTCACCCTTATAGTTAACAATTTTCGAGCCTTTAAAATTCCGAAGGATGCGATAACATTTTTTATATTTCTAAATATATTCTCGTACATTTTTAATTCATATTTATGCGACAATAAACTCTCGGAAGGCGTGCTTGAATTCAAATCTAAATACATAACTGCTGCGTGCGGACTTAGCTCATATGATGTGACATAGAGCAAATTTGTTGCAAGTAATCAGAACCAAATTATTAGATTATTTGTAAAATTGCTTGAAATAAAGTCGCTGCAGATATATATCATCATAACGTATGAGTAAAAGTAACATCTAGATCTTACTGATGCTAATACAACGTTAGGTTTAGCAATAATATAGCGATTCCTAACAGTAAATTATATTAATAGTAGATCACACATATAATGAGGGCAACTTAAGGAGTTGTCGGTGGCTAAAATAACTTGGACCTGCGCACAGGCGATCCGAAAAAAACTGACTGGACCAGTTGCATTCAATGCAGCAGCCTCGAGCGAGGCTTATAGGCTGCCACACATGTGCCGTGCGCAACGTAATGAAGCGAGTAGGAATAAACTTTATAAATATGATGGTTTGCTTATTATGTTCAGTGAGAGTTGATCAATATTGGGTTGTGACATTGTTAAAATTTGAGTAATGAGGTTGAATAATTGTATTAGTTGGAATATATGTAAATATCAAAACTAAGAACTAAAATTCAAAGTTTAAGTAGAAGTTCCTAATTTTGTAATGTATTAAAATTAATTTAATATTATCCTAAAATGTTGCCACTTCGGCTCAGTCATTAGACTTAAGTACCTGAACTGGGGAATTTTGATCGAGCAACATTGACTTGGGTTAACGCGGATGAACTGCGTCAGCTGTACTGGAATTTCCAGCAATAATGATCAGTAAATGAATAAATAAAATTTCTCCACTAAGGTCATCTCTTCAAGGAAAAAATTGTCCGTATTTTTGTAGGTTTCAGTCAAAATTATTGGGCAGCGATTAACTGGTATCATTATAATAGATGGTGATAGGATATTGCTTCTGCTGCATTAAAATTGACAATATTCAATTTTATATTTAATGAACGAACATTTCATCTAAGAACAGCCGAAAGTAAGCTGTAAGAATTTCCAAATTTTAAAGTTTAATTCACTTGATGGAAACCCGGTCCTTTTCGCAAACCGGCTAACCATGCACGGTCGTCGCGTTTGTAAGTTACTCTTTATGCATAGAGCCTCGAGTTAATTCTTATTTAAAAATTTGCTAGGAATAACTATCAAGAACCTTGATTCTATACTACAGTCTACCATATACGGTACTCGCCGATTATAACGAACAATAAAATATAATGTACGATTATATACACGTCATATTTCCACACGATTTTTTCAAACATACATTGCATAAAAACGTCTTTAACATGCATGCGTAAAATTTTTTATTCAAAACCATCACTTTTCAAAATTTTCTGCATAACATGTGCTGAAATTCATGTGTATGTATGTAAATGGTGGCCAATGTTAAGTTTAAAATGAACGGCAATGGCACGTGGGCTTACGGGATAGCCACCGCTTCAGAATATTTGGCCTTGGCTCGATCTCCTTATAGTTCCATGCGCAAATTAAAATAAGGTTGGCCTAGTGTTAAAAATGCTTTATTGAGTGATATAATAAAATGGTAATTCAATTATAAAAATAATACATCCTAGACTAATTTAGATCTAGGTTGCAATTACGACGATATAGTGACGTTACAAGGGTTTGGTCTGGCGATAGATATTATATGCATACACATGACTCTGCAATGGAGTCGTTAATGTAATTAATGTAAATATGATTTTTAAATCTAAGAACATTTTGACATCAATATAATTTTTTTTAAACTTCATTGTAGTTAATTAGTTAATTATTGTTATTAATTAATGCCATTAATACTCCGTTTAATATTGTCTATTTCGGCAATAGGTGCATAATTGATAAACTTATTTTCAAACCTGTCGATATTTGTGTGTGAGACTATGAAGAATCTCTTTATCGAAAATCTCATTAATAGAAGAAACTACAATCAAACGGCACGCCCATGCCGTGAGGTTTGGCTATTTCAAATCGAATTTTGAAGATGTTTCAAATACCTTCCCTCTGTCAGAAACAGTAATATTTTATATTTTCTTTACTAAAGGTGACAAACTGTCTTAAGTATTGTCTGTGCCTCTCATTTCTGACACCAGGTCGGCATCCACAGCTCCTACTTCAGATTGTTCGATCTTTAAGCCTAGCTGGGTCCGAACCAGTTTTTTGACGCCAGCATTCAGCGAAAAGATACACTTTTGAAGTGAGGTAAAGAATTTCGCACACCAACACTTCGATATACTTTCGCCCCCACTGACGATATGACAACATGATCACAGTAAATAAAAGTGCTAGTCTTGTTGGCTAATCACTGTTATCATTTAGCGATAAGTCCTTTAACACAACCACAAGGGCAACTTAGACCAGTTTGAGGCTATAGACACTTGCTACCACTCACAGACTCTGCCCCAACTAGACTGTGACTTCTCACAATATTCAGGCCTGTTACCTACGTCGTAAGTCGTATATTCTGCGTTGACCCTGACTGACGTTGTAGCGTTCAATATCCCTCATTGATAGATTAATAAACGTTCACTTCCCGCATGTGAATATACCGTTATACGTTCTCATAAGTCGTAGTGTTAAATCAAATTGCGTGCATGCCTTGCCGCCAATGATTTTTTTTTACAGTATTTGGTTATGTGGACTGTGTTTTAGCGCATTTTCTCATTTATGGAAAAATGCACTATTGTGCTCGCCATGTCCGTCTGTCTGTCCGTCCGTCTGTCCGTCCGTCCGTCCGTGACCTCAAGTTTTCGTCGACGAGAAAATGTAATTCGCGTTCTAATGTAATATACGTTCTCATCAGTCGTAGCGTTAAATCAAATTGCGTGCATGCCTTCCCGCTAATGATTTTTCACATTATTTGGTTATGTGGTCCGAGTTTTTTCTGTAATCATGTGCACTGTCCATATGTAGAATGCGCATCTAACGTTCATTCTTATTTCTCGCATTCGCGAGGTATCAGAAATTGCGCACTAGCATCGCTCCTGATTCAGTGGAATCTGGAACTTTCGGCCTACAAATCCATGCAACGCACCCTGGCCTCCAGACGCTGAGTACTCGAGACGCTATCGAAAAATTCGTCTCCCCATATCTACGATTTTAATTCGCTTATATTCTGATTCGATAGCTCAAATCTTTCAGGAACTGGATTAATAAGTGCTTGCTGTAAGTACGTCTACGGGGTGATATAAACTACTATTTTTATAAATTTACGATACAATTTTTGTATATTTAAAATAATTTTTCGGGGTTTTAAAGCCAAACCCATGGTTTGAAAACCATAGAATAAGAGTTTTTTGGCGTTTTAAAGCCAAACCCATGGCTTTAAACAATTTATACAATTTTTATAAATTTCTACACGGAGTATTCATTAACGCCTGCAAGATCAAAGATTTGTGCGATGCTTCTCAGACCATTAGACGTGGAGGCATTGGAAGAAGAGCTTGAAAAAGATAAGGAGTATATATATTTCCTGCCTAATTTACAAGTTTTTGAACAGTTCATACTGAGAAAATACTGATACTCTTGAAACAGTCAAGAAACGAGGTTCACATCTGCACTACAGGCGTATATAGGGATCAATTTGCGAACTGCAGTCACGGAGTAAGGTACGTAGGAGATGATGGTGCGGTATCTGCATTGCATTACTTTCGATAAGAAATGTTGACGTTCGTTTTGTTATGGCACTTTAACACTTTAACTGCGATGTGCGCCATATATGGTACAGGAATGCATATCCCAAACTGCGACATGTGCCATATGTGGCGCACGCTTAAAAAATTTAATTAAAAAAAAACTCCTTAAAATATCAGCCACATCATAAAATTGTGAAAAATATGATAGATAATTGACAATAATGTTTTCAAAAACCTATACGAACGTCGTGTAATCGAATCGTAAGAATCTTAGTAGTTGAAATCTAGCCTGAAATAATGAGGGAGTACAAAAAAGAAAAATTATTAAATAAAGGGTGTTATCCTGTTCCAATATGTTGAAAATTATTTTTTCGGTATTGGTATGGATTATAGCAGTAGAAAAATAGGTATTAGTCATTCGAAAATTGCCTAAGCTCACACAGAAACAAAATGGCACTGTAAAATGCAAGATATACAGTGATACGGATTCCGGGCACTGCGCTAGCAATTAATAGTTACTTTTCTAGCTTTCCGTCTCACTTTAGCACTAACCAACTTCTTTTTTATTAACACATTTTTCTTAACTTAGCTTCGCGTTTGTTTGTTTGTTTGTGGATTTGTTTGTTGTTAACATTGACAACGAAAATTAGCCCATCTCGGATTGCTTTAGAGATCTGAAATTCGGCATGCAGGCTATTTTCGCCTAACAATTTCAGACACAATCATTAAAACTAGGAATTAGAGACCTAAATTAGCTTAATTGAGTAAAGCACATATATATAGTACATATTATGACGTGCGTGCGCTGACGTTATAGACGAGCAGGCGCTTACGCTGCGTATCATCGATACGTACGTATATACAGCATGCACATAGTAGAAAATAAACTATATAATATAAAAAACTTTTTAAAACCAACGTTTTTCATGTATAGTAACGGACTAAAAAGAAGAAAATAAAATACTTGAAAAACTTAAAAACAATACGTTTTTCTTGTGTACTAACAAGTAGAAAATAAATTATGGCTCGCCCCAAAAAACGTGGGTCGGGCTGTACGTTCACCATCAAATTTCCAAAATTCGTGTGTTGTGTGCTTTTCGCTTTAATCATAAATCTGCCCGACACACGTTTTTTTTGGGGCGAGCCATAATTTATTTTCTACTTTTTAGTCCACAAGAAAAACGTGGTTTTTTA